TAGAATTTTCTGTAGATCTCCATGACCATGAAGAAATGAAACAAGGGACTCGTCAGCTTGAAGTTTCATCTCATTGTACTTACTGTATGTAAGTGGGAGTTAATAGCCACGAGGGGTCAATGTTGAGGGGCATTCCTCCTGGTGAGGGGCCGACGTCATCAGCTTACAGGTATGGAGCTAACTGCGAAGAGAGCTGGGAGGAAGATCATCGGCCAGTCCATAAGGTACCATGTGACTTTGTAGCTGATATAAACACGTGACTTAAACCATTAGGTAAGATGCCTTAGGTAAGCGTAGCTGTGAGTGGCAGAAACTTCAGATCTTCGACTTCAGGTGGTTTGCAGGGTCCAGCAGTAACCACACGATACGCCAATTGCCGCGGCCAATCGCCTTCAACCCGGTACTCGAGGTCCATACAAAGTCGAATCAGACCTCAGGTCACCTTTACATCTATTTCCTCGTCACGGGATCCTCGACGACAAACTATCGGTCACAATGGAGTTTCGAAGCCTCGTCCGGCCAGCCGCCAGGCTATTCAGCCCTCGTGCTGCCCTTCCTATCGTTCCTTGCCGTGGCCACAAGACAACAAGCCGAACAAAACGCTCTTTGAAGATTGCTCCTCACGAGTCCTTCCTCCCCGACCGAAAGGCAGCTTTCCCCGCCTCCGACTCCATTATCTACAACCCTCCTTCTTCCGAGGCCTCTCCTCTTCACACACCTTTCATCTTCCTCCCACATAACGATCCTCGCCGTGCCGCTCTCACACGAATGCGACACACCCCCGGCTCTCCTCTGGAACCTATCGCACCCGGCAAACTTGCCCCAAAGATGGACTATCCTCGCCGCAATCCTGTATACAACCTCAAGGCTGAGGATATCAGGGAGATGAAGCGACTAAGGGCAGACGACCCCGTTACATGGAGTGTAAATAAGCTGGCTGAAAAGTTTGGCTGCTCGCCTATTTTCGTCAAGATGGCTGCCCCTGCACCCAAGACACATGTTGAGGGTCTTAAGCGCAAGCAGGAGAGGAGGGAATCACGATGGGGTGCTATCCGAACCGCTGCGAGAGAGGACCGCAAGAGGAGGACAGAAATGCTGTACCGTGGCGAGTTGTAAGGAGTTTATTCTCCGGTGTGTCGGTGTGGCACAGTCTATCAGACTTGTACAAACATAGAAAATCGTCTGGATCTTGTGTAGGATTATGATGATAGGGAATGAAGTGAAATGCGAATAGTATTGATTTCGGCCCAATGGGAGGGCAAAAATTCTGTATAATTGCCAAATACCAAAAACTCCCTCAATACAATAGCCTCTTGTATTCATGACCCCTGTCTCCATATGTCTCATGTATCATGAATAGTGTATGCCAACGAGTTTATGACATTCGATGACCAACAGGTCTCCAATTGTGTCCCATATGTACCCCTTGTTCCAGATAGCAAACAATTAAAGCTAACCCAAGACGTCGATACACACCTATATATGAACATTCGTGAAATCAACCAAGGAAAACTATACGAAGCAACTTTTAATCCAACTTCATCTCAGTCGATCTAGTAGTCGACGTTGATGTGCGACGGCTTCCTCCAGCACTTGAAGATGATGAAGAGGGTGGCTCATTCAAGAGATCCTTTTCACCAGGGATCACACGGTTACACCAACCGCACCACGAACGACGTTCTCCTCTAACCTCTCGGCCGAGGATACGGCTGCCACTGGTACGTTCATCATCCCACTCAGGAACACAATGGCCAACACGCACCATGCGGACACGCTTGCGCTTCACAACGCCGCCAATGCCCTCGATCTCATGACGAAGGTACCCGGGGCCGAGGGACGGCGACGGTGTACGCTCATGTGTAAGACGGAGCTGGTCAATGAGTGCATCAACCGGAGCTTGTTGCGGGGCCGGGGCCGGGGCGACATTGCCGTCCCGGGCGTCTTCGGCGTCGCAGTCTACTTGATGCTCGACTTCTTTGGCGGCGCAGCAATCTGCTTCGCGGCCGCAGACGACGCCACGGACGCCCTCGCCAATGCCTGTTCCAAGACCGCCGAGGACCTCACCGTATTGGTTTCGCCAGCGCCAGATACTAAGCCATCTGGTCAGTAAGAGAGTAAGTTTGCTTGGGAATTGGCACATACCGCTGGTAGTCATGATCTGCGGCACGAATGCTTCGCCCACATGGCTGACAGAGCCAAACGCCCTCGTCGGCGCACTTACAGACGTCTCGCGACACCAACTCAGATGACAGTGGTACATCTGGATCTACAGGAGCTTTGATAAGAGTGGCTATAGGTGCGTGAACACAAGGTTTGCAGAGTCTTCTATGCCTCTCCTTAAGGGCGACGGAAGCCGGTGGCTTGATGGCGCAGTTCTGCAGAGTTCATGGTCAGTAACACGCGATTGGGCCAAAACTCGGCAGCTCGCAGATCGCTGTACATACCCGGCATATCACATCGCCGCATCTACGGCACTCGCCAACCATATCGCGAGCGCAGTCGCCTGATTTGCCATTGTAACTGCGCCCATCTTCCATGTAGAACCAATTGCCAGCGCGAGCGCGGTAACGAAAGGTTTCGGAGCCATCAACGGGGACTTCTTCATTTCGGCAGTGGAGGGTAGAGTTGAGTAGAGTAGTACGGTACTGAATGAGGCCATGATGGATGAGACGACAGGTACGTGAAAGAGCGTCGAGGGTATTAAGATCGATAGAAGATGCAATGGCTTCGACGACACTATGTGGAGGGTCAGCGAGAGTTGTCATGACATGTCAAATTCGGTATTAAACGACGCAGCAGATATCATGATGAAGGCCAACAGCTTCATCCACGAATCACTTTAAACATTGGGACTGAAAATTGATTTAAGAAGGGTTTGCACTCACGGATAACACTGAAAGGCGTTGGTAATAGGCGCCTGAAAGGTAGAAGAGTCCATGGTGCCTAGCGGCTCTGGGTTATACAATGAATGAGGCCAAGGTCCATTCCGGCTGTTGGCAGACAACAACTGGAGCTTCCTGAGAAGAAGAAGATGCTGATCCTTTTGAGAAAGCTCGCTCTGTTGGGGGTCGTCATGATGAAGAGGACCAGGAGGCGGAATGGGCGGCACGACCTCATGATGAGCGGCACGAGGATCGTTGACGGTAAAGCCGCCAGGGCCCGCTCCAACATCCTCATCATCCTCCAAATCCACAAAACGCGCCATGGCTGAATTGGTCTTTCTTTTGTTTCTTTTACTAGTGACTTGCGTCTTGGCACATAAAAAACAGTAGGTACAGTGTGAGCCACGATCCCCAGGATCTGATAAGCAGAGGGGATGGGAGGGGGGTATCAAATTTCGGGGGCTCGAGTCAGTAAGAGGGGGGTCCGAGAATGATAGACCGGATGTTGGAGGCCGGAAGAGGGCCCGGGATGCGGAACTTTGACTGATCGGGGGCTAGACACGGCAGAGAAAGGTATGCAAGAAGAGAGAGTAGGTATGAAAAGAGAAGGTGATGTTTAGTTACAGAATAGGATTAATGTTGTCTGCAGGGGAATTGGAAACTGGAACTGGAACTGGAACTGGAACTGGGGCTATGATGAGTGAGAAAGAAGTGGGTTATGTTATGTTATCGATGTTACGAACGGAGGCCGGGAGTTGATGAAGCGGGGAGACGAAGCGGGACGAAAGAATCACGGAGGTAAAAAGAAGAATGAGTTATGATACGAGCTTAGGAGCAGCCATTGAAACTGCAGAACAGAGTCGCTCTCAGTGGATCTGAGCAGAAGATCGTGAGTGAGATTGAAGAAATGGAATGTGAGTGAGTAAACGAATGAGTGAGTGAAGAGTGGCAGTGAGATCGATTGCATCAATGAGATTCGTCAATGATACGTCAGTCACTTGATACCAGCCACAGCTCGACCAGACTCAAATCAAGTTAGATAACGACCCCAAACTAGTATATCTACGGTAAAGTCCAGGACCAATTCCTGAAGCTTGTCAGAATTGCCAAGAATAGCATAAACAAACCCAAAGTCCCTCGAGTTCAGAGCCGATTCAAACCTATCATGGAAGCGAGTCTTGTCTCGTCTGCCCCTCTTTGTTCCTGAAAGCTCAAGTGGATCTAGTGCTGTCAACTTTTTTACCGATGTAAACATCCATGCATAATACTTATGGTATAATCCGGCGGTGACGGCTATGTCGTGCTGAGCTGCAATGTAATACTATTACACCGAATAAACAAACGAATACAAAAATACCACTCGCTCTTTATGGAACTTGTGCAATGTCACGAGGGTACCCCACGTGTTTTTTTTTACCTGTCATGAGACGAGAAGATTTCACTTGTTTGCATCATGGCAATCATGCAGGGGTTCACCATTCAGTTCCCAACAACGCATCTCGTTACGTACAACAACGATATTTTCTAGAAAAATACACAGGTTTAGCCTGAGCTTCATTGCAATGTGCGAGCAGAAAATTGCGACACGGCTGTTTAGATCGTTCCGGTGTCGGGGGCCATGACAATCTCATCTTATCAATCTAATCTCCTCTGCGGCTTACCCCATACCATCATGATTTAGAGACCTATTGGGTATAGTTGGGCGGAGTTGTTTGACAAAGAGATATTCGGAAATAAAGAGGAGTTGTTCTTTTCTCGATCTGAGTTATTTCTTTTGCATTGTGCGTGTAAGTAGAAGGTTACGGCGTCATATACCCCGAGTAATGGAAGTGTCGTTAGTATCACGCAACTCTCGTCGCGCTATTGCCACTCTTTTGGCATAAAAAGATCTGAAATGTCGCCCCCAAAACTGGCTTCGAGATATGCCCCCAAGAACAATGATCTTGGTGGGTTTTGAATGTCCTTAGGGAAGTGCTCACCAAGATGTCAATTATAGACCTCAACCAACAGGCGATCGGAAACGGACTTTTGTATGATCCATAACCAAACAATCCAACTGACCATGTAATGACACCTCTCGGAATTCTCGCATTCACGCGAGGATAATTTCCCTGGAAGATGCAAGATGCAGTACGCCCCAGCGAGCAGGCTGTACGTGCCATGTATGAACGAGGATATCGAATATGGTCCAATATTCGAGATCTGGCGTCCGACAATGACCCGCTTATCAGCGACTGTCTATCAAGCATACAAACAGCATTTCCCAAGCACCCTTAATTTCTCAAAGGCATCAAGATCGATCAAGTCTTCGCCAATGTTGCTATAATTCGAGGAATATCAATATGGGCTGCTACAGGCGATATGAATCATATACCGCATTTTGATCAAGAAGCCATATTTCAAGTAGTTTGGGACAAACCGACACAACTCAAGATCGACCCAAGTCTTCAAAATTTGAATGCAGCTTCTGCGAATGTTCTTGATGGGCAGAAAGACCATATCTCAATTCTTATCCGTGCCTGGGCATACATCCTTTCAGCACGTTGGACAGAGTTGATCCATCCACGGGGCACAACTGTCTCAGTCTGGACCATACCCCATCAACCAGGGCTCGAAAAAATCCTTGAATCCTGGCGGTTCTTCCACAGTGGCTAATATTGGCGAAGTTGAAGACGATGCTGCTCAATGGTGGAGTGCTATTCTGTCAAACGATGGCGGCTGGGACGCAACTATCCAGGGCCTTAACGGCAAACTCCTGTATTCTCCGTGGTCCATACGACCGCTGGACGGGCCATTTACTATCGCTGCGGAGATCATAACCAAAAGCTGTGCAACAGTGCGTACTCCTACATCATCAGCTGCCGCCTGTGGTTACTTGTCTGACTACTGTTCTCTCCATCGGATCGAAGATCAGAAGCAGGCAGCCTTGATGGCCGCTCTGCTAATACCAGTTGCTAAATACGATGGTAGGTCTATCGAGTTATCAAGGCCAGTGTTGTCTTATGGGAAAGATAGGAGAGAATCCAGCTGCAGCAAGCCATATCTCATAGATGGGTCTCAGCTCGACAAGCTCCTTACCTCAGCTGCAATCCAAGGGGGATGAAAGCACTCCTATGCAGCATCTTTTACGAACCCGATGTTGAATGCAACGTATGTGGTATTTGGTCACAAGGTTCCTTTGCATTCTTGAACCAGTTAAGCGATGGCAAGGCTCTTTTACGAACCCTCATCAGACGCGATCCGGGCATTGGTGCCCTTTGGGTCGGTGCCTTTATGACAGGTGCCCACCACAAATGTTTGCGAAGGGCTCAAGCAGCTTGGCGGGATATAGACCTCAACGTAGCAGCCTGGACGGACACGTCCATGTCTTTCATTCAAGAACCGATCTCGGCTTCTGCAGGCCTGGAAGGTCAAGTTTCTCGTGCAGACGAATGTCGTTTACTATACCTGAGCCACAGCAGTTCCTATACCAGCTCTCCCATTGTTGCCTTTCAACCATCTGGGTTCACAAGGCTGAGTGATACTAACTTGGATGTCCGTGAGCATGTGCTTTGTGGAAAAGATCACCGTCTTGTGTTTATCAGATTTGCATGGGTATCTACGGACCAAGCAACGAGGAAGCAAGGCTCCCAAACTGCGACATCGTTTCGCTTGAAGTGTAGTCCAACGATCAAGCTTGACGGGATCGCTGATATTGATTACGACGATATTGATTCGGAGGATGAAGACTCAGAGATGGTAACACGGAACATATTCACATGGCTACGGGGAGAGAATGGATTCCCTGTGGCTGAAAAGGAAATTCGAGAGCATCCTTGGATTGATAATTTGGAGGATGACGACGACGGTGACGTTCCCGATAAAAGCTATGCCGGCTCTATAACAGGGATTACAGGTGTTAGTAGATGGTTGTTGAAAGCATCAACTCAAAGATCAAACTCAATATGAGCAGACGTAGGATTCAAACAAAACAAACTTCATTGCTACACGGCCCATATAGTGACGCAATTTCCGAGATATCCGCATCCAAGGCAAATGGTATCAGAATCTCAAGTTCCCGTAATTCGATTCATATCGAGCCGCGTCAAGAGCAGAAATCATGTTGATATTGATTACGAAGGATCATGAACCCCCATCCCGTTTCATGAAACAGAAACAAGCTGATTCAGAAAAATAGCAAACAGGATGAGAAGCTGCAGCTACGTAAATTAAAAATGCGGCGATCCGGTCGTGCAGTAATCATAGCGGGATCTCACGAGTGGCTCTGACAAGGTAAATGTCATCCAAGCGTGGTGAGTAGCGCTGACGCATTGATTCAATCCTGGGTTCGAATCAATTTATATGAAAAATCATCTCATCACCGAAGTGCATCCATCCGTGTGTATGTATGTATATGTGTGTGCCGCTATGAGCCTCAAAGGATTTCCAAGAAAGTTAGTTATAATCCTTGTTGACGGAAACAGACTGGCCATGCTACTAAAATAACACTCTTTGATACAAACACTCGGAACATGCCTATTACTACACCATGTCCCCGATGTGAGACGGGGGCTGTGTTTGTTTCCAGGGAAAAGGGTGAGGCGCAATTGCAGCATCTTCAGGAAGAGATTATGCTTGTTTTGAGTGTAGACGAAAGAGTGCTATTCGTGTGAAAACAGAGACAAAGCGCATGAACTCTACACCTCAATTCGGGTCGTGGAGTCGGTTCTGAAACAAGGGCGAGGCAAGGTTGGGGAACCATGAAACTTGGTTTTGATTCATCTACAGTAAGAGATGAAGCGCTTGGACCAGGGTCTTTTTAAACATCACCAATCTTTTCATCTGTCGTCCAAGGGAAAGGTTTTTAAAAAGGAAATATTTGCGGAGTCTAAGTCCGATATGTTACTTGGCATTGTTTTGTATGAGAAGTGAGTTGAAAGAGGCCGAGAATGTTGTAAGTGGTTCAGGTTGAGATCGTCAAAACAACGATGCAACTGAACCGAGATCCGAAAGTAATATTATCAATATCATGATTTAGTACTGTAATACAATGTTTACTCGTATTTCTGATATTCCCGTCATATGGAAAAGCAAACGATAAACCCTTGTCTCCCCCATGTCTCTCGTGCGACGTTAAAACCCCACCCCTTGCAACATCCACTTTATGCATATTCCCATGCATCGCATCCCTGCATACGATCCTTTCTAGAGTGACCTTAGCCTGACAATTATTCTTCCGTTGAACCTCACCTCATCCATCCACTCCGCATTCATTTTATTTCCATCCAACCTTGGATCTCGTCACATCACAAACAACGAATCTGTTTGAACGGCAAATTAAATTACTAGGAGGATCGGCACTGGCCCGAATAAACAACTTCAAACTTAGCTCTTCTCTATAATCATCATGGCTGTCTCATCCATATTGTCTGCCAGCAAGTGCTGGCCCGTCCTATTTTTGGATCTGGCGGGAATAGTTTCACCGTTATACAGTCGGCCGTATACCAACAAACGGTGAACGCCTGTTGATTCCAAAAGTACCGAGGCAACCGAATAGAACCATCAACAAGTCCCCAACGTGAGAGAACTATTTGTCTTGGCTGCCATTGGCTACCGGATAATTCATCATGACCAGATGGACGGTGACAGGGGCCTTGAATCCCTCCACTATCTGCTGAGGACGCGAGCCTTGCATCTGGGGCCCATGCTATTCCACGTCTATCATCCAGTCCACAAGGCAACTCGCTCTACGGCCTCGAGCCAAATATGGTAATGTCTGTCCAAGCTCAGTTATCCACTTGCTTCCAAACCACGTCTCGTCTATACTGATCCTAGAATCTCGCTGAATCAAGGCACATGAGGGGGCGCCTACATATCCATCACGTCTCATGTTGAGGCCACTTTAATTAAGTCCCGATCGATGTCAAGGATGTCCGTTTACTCCGCCACCCGTCACAGTTTGACGCTGGGGGACTTAATACTGGCAGGCGAGATGCCTCCTTAAAGACGAAGCTCTCGCTGCTTCTTTGGAGTCCAATTCTTCACATTCAACTCTCATTCATTCTCTTTCCGTTTTGTTCCCAGGTTTGGGCTTCTTTTCTCAGTCGTTCTCTTCCGACAGGTGCTTTGGTCGCCTTTTTCCAAGTTAACAAAACATTGCTCTTTGATAGAGCATTTTCACTCTTTGCCAAATCAACAAAACACCAAACCAATTCACGCCCTTCCGATTTACTTGCTTCACCATGTTCATGCGCAACGTTCTTATCGCGGCTGTCAGCCTGCAGGCTCTCGTTGAAGGTGTCATTGCCCAGGAGAAGGTCACTCTCACCAGGACTGTTACTCGCCAGAAGCCAAAGACTACCGCTGGCAACCCTTATGAGGTGCCTGATGTTCCTGAGGTGACCGTTGTTCCCACCTCTTACATCACTGACGGAACTACCATCTTCGTTGACGAGACTGTCACTATTCCTTGCTCTCGATGCACAGCTTCAACTGCTGGTGATGCCGACGCTGAGGTCACTTCCGAGGTCATCACTACTGTCATCACCAGCGATGCTGGCAACGTTTCTGACCAGACCGCTGAAGTGACTGTCATTCCTACCTCTTACATCACCGACGGCACCACCATCTTCGTTGACGAGACTGTCACCATCCCTTGCTCTAAGTGCACTGCTACTTCCACTGCCGGCGACGCTGATGCTGAGGGTACCTCTGAGGCTGTTTCTGAGACCGTCTCCGAGTCCGAGGCTCTCTCCACTGCTGAGGCCACTACTTCTGGTGATGCCGAAGCTGCTGGTACTTCTGAGGCTGTCTCTGAGGCTACCAGCGAGACCGTTTCCGAGGCTGCTACCACTGAGGCCGAGACTCTTTCCACTGCTGAGGCCACTGACTCCGGTTCCATCACTGAGCAGACTGCTGATGTGACCACTGTTGTTCCTACCTCTTTCATCACCCGTGGTACTACCCGCTACGTCAACCAGACCATCACCATCCCTTGCACCAAGTGTGCTGGCGGTAAGACCAAGACTGCTGCCACAGGAGTTGTTGGCGAGACCACTCTTGACACCTCCGCTGCTCTTGAGACTACTGGAGCTACCCAGGACGCTGTTGAGACCTCTGCCGAGACCTCTGCCCTTGTTGAGGAGACCACCGATGTTGACAACGCTACTCAGACTGCCAACACTGCCACTGATGAGGCTGAGGCCAGCACTGAGACTGAGGCTCCTATCCCCACTACTATCATCCTCACCACTGGCAAGGGACAGAGCACTGTCGCTACTCAGCCCGGTCCTTTTGCTAACACCACTGTTCCCGCTGGCGCCGAGACCACCGGCTCCGACGAGCTCCCCGGTGCCGTTTCTTCTGAGGCCGCTACCAGCAGCGCTGTTGTCAGCAAGGTGAACAAGCCTGTCATCGTTGTAATCCGCGAAGTTACCATCTTCCACCGCACTGTCGTCATCGGTGCCGCCTGCCCTCCTGTCAAGCGTGGCAACAAGGGTGACTTCGTTGTCGGTACCGGCTCTGACGAGAAGACCTTCCCTGAGCTCGGCGAGGCTCTCACTGATGCTTGTGACAAGCAGTTCAAGGACTGCTCTGAGAACGCCGGAAAGAACTTTGAGGTCTCTGATTGCCAGAAGCAGCGTGAGATCTGCCGTGCTGATGCCTCTTCTACTGCTAAGGCTCCTACTCCCATCACCAAGGAGTCCACTGAGACCGCCTCCGTCATTCTTCCTTCTGACGCTGAGGTCACTGGCAAGACCAAGCCTGGTGTTGGCGGTCATGTTGTCATCTCCACACGAACCCTCACTGTCTCTGAGTCTTGCGCTATCTCTGATGGTACCCCCGTCATCGAGGGCCCTACCTCCACCGGTGCTGCTGAGACTACCTCCGATGCTGAGGCCGCCGGCTCTACCGCTCTCGGCGCCGAGACCACCGCTGCTGCTGAGACCTCTGGTGACTCTGAGGCCGTTGGCTCTACTGCCCTTGGCGCTGAGACCTCTGAGGCTGATGAGACTGTCACTGCTACTTCCTCCGGTGTTGTTGTTATCACCATGACCAAGTCTGATGGTGAGATCAGCACCACTGCTATCACGGTCTCCAACGGTGTCCCTACTGGCACTGGTGTCGTCACTGTTCCAGGCGAGGGTGAGAAGACCACCGTTGTGGTTCCTCCCGCTGAGACTTCTGAGGGTGCCATCGGCCAGGACACTACCGTCCCTGCTGCTGGCGAGACTGTTATCACCAAGACTGTCACCAACCAGATCACGTCCTACGTCACCGTTGGCGTCAACACCATGACCGTTGGCGTCGAGACTGTCACCCTCACCAACCAGGTCACTGAGACCGTTACTGTCCCCTGTGGTGCCGGCAAGGAGACCGCCAAGGTCATCACCTCAGTGGTCACCGCCTGCCCTGCCTCCACTACCCTGGCCACTACCCGTGCCCCTGAGCCCGAGACAGTCTACGTGACCGCGACCGTCGAAGCCGCCCGTCTTCACAGCGACGTGCCCGCTCCCGAGCGTTTCCGCCGCATGCTCGGCTTCTCCTGGTAAACAAGTGCAGCTTGACCACAGTTTTCATTTTTCGATTCAACTTCACACAACTTTGGGATAAAAACAACACACAAAGGTTTTAGAGTGTAGGATATTTGGGGGGAGGAGTTCTTTTCAAAGGGCGGCGACTGTCATCCTCCCGCGGTCACACTTCGGTCTGTGACTGGAAATTTTGTGATTAGGGAGGATGACGGTACGAAGAGGAATGAGAAATATTGAGATTTGGAGTTGAAACTTTTTTTTTTTTTGAGTCCCTTTGGTTATCTTCATGTGCTTATGATTTTGCCTGCGGGCGTGTAACACGATGTACGTACCGCCTGGATTAGAGAATACAGAACGCCATTTCATGCGATTTTAAGTCGCTTGCCAGTGAATGATGTGAAGAAGAGTGAGGTGCAACAGCCTTTTGTAGGGAATAGAGATACCATATCAGTATTATGAACCTAATGGCTTCTGGGCTCAATAATCATCCATTACACAGCAAAATCAAGATGGAGAGCATTATATCTTGTTCATATTATATGCTAACCAAGACTGTAATAAAGACCGAATAGTATGCCGTCTCCGTATTCAAGCTCATGGAGCTATATACAACCCTTCCCACCAAAAAAACACAAAACGCCCACAGAACTCGCCAAACGATAGCGTAACAAGCATTGTCGCCGCGAGCTCTGGTTCAACACACTATCCGCAAAGCGATGGCGTAGAAGCACTTTCGCTGCCGAGGGAAACGGGGAAACTCGTAGGACAGCGTGTACAAACGCTGATGGGGTATCATAATAAATAGCAAAACAGAGCGTAAAGATAAAAGTAAAATGTCAGAATAGTCCGATGGGGTAATGCTCGGAGGGTCTGAACTTGCGGGGGGAGCAGGATGATAGCGCTGAAGCATTGTCACCAAGCTGCTCGCGAGACCAGGAGATCCTCCGAGCATAAATCGTTGTCGAGGCCGTCACATTAGTGGTATGTATATCAGGTTGAAGATGTGGCAACGCCTCGAGGCGTAACGATCGATCCCTACCGGATGAAGGTGAGAAGTGAATGTCGTCAAGGCAAATCATGAGTGAATAGCCATGTTGATACAGGCAGCTGAATCAGCAGGTTGGGCTACCGCCAGCTGCTCAATTGGGAGTCGTCAACCAGGGTAATTGTTGAAGATGCAGTCCAGGCGGGCGAATCCAAGGAGTCCCGTAGATTTAAACGCGGCTCGACTTCTTCCAAGGAAGAGATCGGAAACCACGCTCCTGACCCTCTCGTCGGGCTGCGCCATCTTCAAACTCACTAGCCGAGTCTGACTGAAGCTTGCTGCTGGCTGGGTTACCAAAGTATGTGAGAAGAGCCTTCATCGCGAACGAGCTGAGAATGCTCATGCACAGAATTCCAATCATGGTATAGTTGCTCTTGCGGTACTGGTGAGGGCCGGGGGCGGCGTCCTCAGGCCAGCCAGTGTAAAGAGCATAAGTTGTCATGACACTGCCCAAGTTGCCGAGACCAGAAACGAGAGCAGTCGCAGCAGCAACTCCGACTTCACCATGGCGCTTTTGGAAGATCTCAGAGCTCCAGGCCATGCAGATGGGGACAGTAGGACCAAGACCGAAACCGACCATAAGAAGACCTCCATATCGCGCCCAGCCGTTGTTAGTTGCCAGAGTGGTTGTAAGAAGACCGGAAATCTGGATGCAGACAGCAGCGGAGAAGAAGTAAGGGCGAGATCGGTGGAAGCGGTCTGAGATAGGAGTGACGATGAGAATGGCGATGAGATCCATAATCCAGATTGGCGCAAAGAGCAGACTCACTTCGACGCCGCTAGCCTCAGGTCTGATGGATGCGATGATAACGGATCCGTACATCTGGGTACCTATGCCGACGCCGACAACACCGAAATACATCATAGTCAGGGGCCAGAGACGCCAATCGATCAGAACAAGACCTAAGTCCCTAAAGTTCCAGGGTCGAGCGTGGTAAACACGTCGAAGGTCGTGGTAGTGGATAACAGCGTCTTGACCCTTGAGAACTTCAGGGGTAGCAGGGAGCCACTTGAAGATACCAGTCTTGGGTCTGGTTTGGCCAGGTGCAAGAGGACGGTCGGGGAGCCACCACAGGAGGATAACGCTCAGAACGACACCGACAAGACCATAAACCATAAACATCCAACGGAAGCCCACAATGCCTCTCTCTCCATCCATGAGTTGGAATCCTGCAGACACGAGACCAACAACGGCGGCAGAAACTTGAGAAGCAGTGAAGTAATAGCCGATTCGCTGTCCAGTACGCGAAGGAGGGTAGAACAAAGTGAGATAGAAGGCCATACCAGGCCACATGCCAGCAATGACGAGTCCAAGCAAGAATCGCAGCAACTTGACGCTCCAAGGATCGTTGACAGCAGCAAAGCAAGTACCAATAACACTGGTAGCAAAGACAATGCGTGCCATCCAAAGACGAGGGCTGAGCTTGCTCATGATGAGGTTGGAGGGACAGTCGAAGATGACATATGCGACGTAGAAGAGGGCGAGAGCAGTCGAGACATCCTTTGGAGTCATTCCAAGGACAGTCATGAGATCGTGTCCCTTGTCCTTGTTCATGGTTTGAGCAATTCCAATGTTGGACCTGATGGCTGAGCAAAGGAAGTAGAGGACCCAGAAAGCTAAGAACTTATTAGTGTATGGTTTCACAGAGAATACAGGAGGGGACTCACCAGGAATGATACGACGATCAATCTTTCTATAAGTTAATTGGTAAGTATATATCGATTTGGGAAGAGACTGGTCACAAACCTGTAGATACGCTCTACCGTCTCAACGTCATAATCACCCTCTCGGGCATTTCCCTCTTCCTGATTCTCAAGCCCAGTAGAAGCAAGATGGGGCTTGGACGCGGGGTCATCATGCTGGCCACCACTGGCGAGCGAGCTATGAGCTGACTCTGCCATTGGAAGTACAAGACTTGAAAGCAATGGAGGAGCTTGCTATAAGTCTGGCGATGATTTGAGTGACAGTGACAGCAGCAGATTGAATAGGAAGAGAGGCAATGCCAGTCGAGAGGGTTTTAGTAGTAAAAACAAAAGTAAAGATGAAGAAGAAACTGATGTTGAGGGGAAGAGAAAACAGGAAGAGGGTGGAGGGGATTTATTAATGGAAGAAAAAAAGTTGAGGGTCCGAATCGATTATTGGATGAGATCCGTGGTTTGTGAGCCGATCTAGGCCGCTAAAACCGATGCAGATTTACTTTTGGGGGATAGCTTTTGCAAGTTGGGGTAGCTATAGCCCACTAAATGCGGCTACTTAGAGCTAATTATCAACCCTTAACCCAACCCTTCTTGTTGACCGTAGGCTTTGCCAACGTGATCGGCTGGTTTTTACTCACTCCGGACCCGAATATGAAGAGACACAGATGATTTTGCACCAATCGAATTATTGGTGTTCTGAAGACATCAGAGGAAGGTGAATGATTTAGAGGTGAAAACTACGTCTCAACAATTGTAGATATAGAGCTTCAATGCTCTGGATACGACACGGCCCGGTAAGAGCCGCTTCGGTATTACCACCGTATAAGAGCTTCTTCGGCAATCTACCGAGTCCAACACCGACGATCGGAACAGCAATAGTCATTGAAACTTGTATAAAATGACAGCGTGATCTCTGTTAGCCTATCTTCGGCTGAAAGGCAACGTCTGGTATTCTAGAAATGCTCGGTGCAGTCCGGAGTACTCTCGGCTTTGCAGCCGTTGATCTGATGTCTGGGGGAAGGCAAAGTGCCTGCAGCTAGGGTCCAAAGAATCTTTTGACCAAGACAGTTAAGTCCAATCATAGGCTCAATCTTCACACACTTTCCAAATGATAATATCATATTATAAGACCTGGAGACATCTTATGAAACTCAATGAATGGATACTATGATAAATATCACTGCTAGGAATGGAGTACATCAAACTGACTACTGACAACTTCGCCTGGTGTGCTTCAGCCCTTGAACGCCTTTTCCAACTCGGCAATATCAAACTTCTTCATCTTCATCATAGCCATAGTCGCTCTTCCAGCAGCACCTTTGTCCTCAGATCCCATCATTTCCTTGAGAGCTGAAGGCACAACTTGCCAAGCAACGCCAAACTTGTCGGCCAACCATCCGCATTGTTGGCGGGCCTCATCACCACCTTCACCGAGCTTCTCCCAAAAGTGATCAACTTCAGCCTGATCCTTGCAGTCGATCATGAGGGAAATGGCTTCGCTGAATTTCCACTTCGCTGGACCGCCATTGAGAGCGACAAAGGAACGGCCTCGGAGCTCAAATTCGACGACCATGACCCTTCCAGGTTCTTGGCCGTGTTGGTCTTGGCCGGCCGGAGTGTAGCGTTGGATGGTGGTGATCTTGGAATCAGGGGCAAAGATTGAGACGTAGTGGTTTGCTGCTTCTTCGCCTTGGTCCTCGAACCAGAGGCAAGTAGTGAGTTTTCCGAAAGACATGGTGTTTAGTGATGATCGACTATATGACAGAGTATTGAATAGGGTGTGGGTATGATCTTGAGGACAAGAGGAAGAAATCACATCTTCTTTATAGACCTGTGTCGTTAATCAAACCAACACCGTGAACTCCAGTGGCTTGTGTCAGAAGTATTGTTCACATATTGAGGCGTAAGACTTGGGTCAATAATCATCAAGGGTTAGCAAAATACAGGAAATGCACAGATGAAGGCTTTCACAACATAACACAGCAAACTGTTGGAGCACCGTGAACAAAGGCATTTGCTGTAAGCCACTTCATCTAGAGGCGTTAGTTATCGCATTGTCAAGCCAATTGTCTCTGTTGGGTCTGAGGACTGAGAGCGGGGAAAGCTTCAGCTTCAGCATAAGACGGAAGACAAATGTCCGACATGAGATTATTGGTGTTATACAGATAGCATTCCATCCTCTTGGACCTCAACCCTTCAAACCATTATGTGGGCAGAAAAGATGATGAATTCGTGGGGTTGAAATTGCTCAAGGGCGAAGGTTAAAAGAAACCTTCAAATACGAGCCTTTTTATTTCTTCAATTGATAGACTCTGACAAGGTTCTTGAGATCAGCTCTGATCGTCGTAATAAACCAATAACGATACGCATAGTTCGTGTGGCTCATCGCTCATCCTCGCAAGCTCAAGCATTAGCTGCTTCAGGCCTGGCCCTGGTCAGGTTGTATCGTTGAACCTGAGGTTCAACCTCATATTTCTGGTGTAAATGCACAAATGCCTTAGAACTCAGATCGTTCCTTCCCGTCCCCTAATCTAGTCTACCTAAACAACAAGGCGCCCGAATCTCCAAATTCTCACCCGTTTTCAATTTCCCCTCTCTCAACACTCAAAACCGTTATCACCAGGGAACATTTGCGACTCAAATGTTCTCGAATCAACAGAATCTTTACTCGTTTATCGTTACGGACTGACTTTCATCTTTAGCTCGCCAATGCCTCACTGGGGATTATCGTCGTCACCACCAGCGTCATCTGCTTGTGCCACCCACATGCTGGTGCTCTGATACATACGCAACAACTCCACGCCAAACACCGCGATACGCTGGAAGTCGCAAGCCTGTCGCAAACTAGCATTGATTTAGACTACCAGTCTAGCAAGCCGCGATATGTCGCGTCCAAGACTCAGTGGTCTAGACGTTGATACATTCATCCCCTTTGATATTGTTCCCGTTGGACAAAGCTGTCCACTTTATGCTCGACTGTTGCCACCTGGAAAATAAGGTTGTGAGGCCTCACAACCAAAAGGACCAACACCAACCTGGCACGATGAGTCAGGCACCTATGAGAGACTAACTTGGACAAGGCCGGCCAGTCATCGTAGCTGCCTTGATTTATCTGATTTTCTCATGCCCAATAAGCACTATTCGGAAACAGAGATCCTTCACTGGAACTGTTAGCGACTTCACGGATAGCAGCCTGACGCCTATTGAGTCCTAAGAGCCAGGGTCACACAAGTCACTTCTAAGTGCACGTCACGGACTTGAACCTGGAAAATCCTGGCAGATGATACGAATCCTCCAATAAGCAAAGTTGGCTTAAATCCAGAGACTGTGAATAAGATCACGAGATCCTATCGGAATGCATCTACAAAGGATCCATAGACGCGGCCCGCACAGCCTCATGTCTAACTATACTATCTTCGAGCGAAGATCAGAAAAGGCAACGAATACGATTAATGGGCGGACACACAAGAAAGTCTACTTGCGTGCTGTTGGTCGTCGTCGTAGCCTTGCATTTCTCCACGCCTCCATTATGCGACGCCACTAAAAGAGGCACGGCGCGTGAGTCACGATTTTAACGCTTCCGCATAAGTCCAAGGACTTTGCTTATTATGGGACCTGCCGTATCGAGTCATCGTTACCCCGTTGTCTGCCTGGAGTACAGTCAAATACTAATAAAGTCGTGTTCGCAACAAACTTTAGCTCAACAATTCGGATCTGTCGGCGCCACAATACTTGCTTTTGCTGAGCCACGCATACGCGATGTCACGTGGTAGCTTTGACTAATCCTACCTTCTCGTCATATTTTACTCCACCTTGTTCTACCCGTAGCCTCCCGCTTTTTCATACCAGAATTTTCAGGCCTCCAACCTTCAAGCTTCATTCACCATAACCAACCCGAACCGAGCGAGTAGTCATCGGCATAACGATTTACTATTACGCCTACCACTCAACACCAACTCTCGCATACGACCCTTTCTTTATAAAGCACAGCCTCGCCTTCGACCACAAGCACCGCTTTTAATTCACGCGCCCCCCGATTACAAACTCCTGCGACCGCGATTTCTGCGTCGCCTCCGATTGTCGCAAAGCAACATCAGTCACCCACAGGCACCATGAGTGTCGCATTCGAGCCTCGAAACTTCATCCATGATGGGAGCTATCCTCCCATCGGCGACGACCACGATCATGGTGCGGACCAACGATTTACAGACAGTGATGTAGCCGAGCAACTCAGTCATTACACAACTGAGGCGTCGATGCTTCCGGATTCCACAGGCGTTCTTGGAGATGACAGAGGGATGATGCCAGAGGACGCTGCTGCTGTACAAGAAGCAACCCGGCTCGACCTAGGACCCCACACGTTCCCATCTCCGATCGAGGCCGCTATGCAAGCACCATCACTCGATCCTCTACCCGACGACAAAGATCTTTCCCCGAGTATCGAATCTCCTCCTCCTTCTTCTTCTCGAGTGAAATCCATTCCAAAGCCCGAGAGAGAAGCAATCAAGGGCGCGGACGGCAAATTTCACTGTACCTTGGACGACTGTAAGGAAGAAGTCCGAGTATTTTCGCGTAAATGCGAGTGGAAGTAAGTTTCCCGTATCCGCACTTCATAATATTTTGCTAACTATTTTGCAGCAAGCACATGGACAAGCATGAGCGACCGTATCGATGCCCTGCCGAAGGATGCGAGAATCTCCCTGGTTTCACCTACTCTGGCGGTTTGCTTCGGCATGAACGCGAGGTTCATGGCAAACATGGAGGGCCCAAGAACACGGTCAACTGTCCTCATCCTAACTGCAAGCGACACACCGGCAAGGGATTCTCAAGACAGGAGAACCTGAACGAGCACCTACGTCGGGTTCACACCAATCCTGATGGATCTACTCCTACCGAAATCGTTCAATCACCTGGCGATAACGACAGCGAAAAGACGGGCATGAAGCGCAAGCGTCACTCGAGCGAGCAGGCCACCGAGGAGCTGACCGAGCTCAGAGAAGAAGTCAAACGCCTGAAAGAGGAGAATGAGAAGCTGAGGGCTGAGATGAACCAAAACTCCCAGCATTCTCTGTCTATGATGGCCCAGATCGCTGAGTTGCAGGACGCTCTGCGTGAAGGTCTCGGACATTCCCTGGGAGCTCCCACTGCACAGATGATCTAGAATCCAATCTTGCGCCTGGCAGTCCCCAACTTGAATTTACCAT